TATTTTTGATGTCCGCTGTCTTTAGAAGAGCTCTGCTCCTGGAGCGAGGAGGAGTGCAGGAACTTTGAGCATGGGTATCGAGTTTATGGGAAAAACTTCCACCTCATTCAGGCAAATAAGGTGAGCACCCAGAGGATGACCTGCTACCTGATATGCTGATTTAAAAGTGTTGACTATTTACCGCTAATGCAAAAACAACCTCTTCTTATCCACAGGTACGAACACGCTCAGTGGGCGAGTGTGTGGAGTATTACTACATGTGGAAGAAGTCTGAGCGTCACAAGTACTTTACTCAGCAGGCTACCAGGCTGAGCCGCAAGAAGTACAGCCTGCAATCAGGGAGCATGTGAGTGTTGCTGGGACACCAATCTGAAGATAACCAGAGTCTTTTAGATAAAAGGTGCAATTAGAAAGAACGGCACATAAAAAGCAAGAAATAATTTTGTCTCCTTGTGGAGCACTGCACTGCTCCCGGCTGCTCCCATCTGTCCACTTGCATCTTAATTATGGACAACAAATTCACTCAAACCTCTTTGTGAATTTGTCCTGTACCCCACAATGAAATCTAAATGGAAACTGTTTGGACTACAGAAGCAAGTGATCCGAGTGGGACTTTACAGAGAGCAGTTCTGAAGTGTTAAAGTGTTGCACAAGGAGACTGCCTTGAAGGCGGTACCTGCTTTTAGGAATGTGTCAGGAAGTAATTCCAAACTCTGCCATATCAAACATGCTCTCCAGAGTAGCTGAAAGTAGCTTTAAGATTTTTGGTTTTTTTGTGATACCTGCAAAAATTTTGGTATTTTGTTTTTCTAAATGGTAAAAATGGTAAATGGCCTGTATTTGTATAGCGCTTTACTAGTCCCTAAGGACCCCAAAGCGCTTTACACATCCAGTCATCCACCCATTCACACACTGGTGATGGCAGCTACATTGTAGCCACAGCACTGACAGTATGTATGATTCTGTCTCATAACAGAATCATACAAAAACTATGAAGCTCATTTTCATGACACTTGATAGAGTTTGGGTAAAGGAAGTGCTAATTTACAGTTTGGTACATGTCTAGAATCACTTCCTGTAAAATTGCCAGATAGGCTTTGGACTTCAGAGAGGTCGACTTTCTAAGCGTGAGACCTGTCAGGTAGCTCAAGGATCAATTCTAAATCCCTTACTTTTTAATTTTTACATGCTGCCATTGGGCAGTATTTTCATGAGACACGGCCTCCTTAATATTTTGTGGGTTACTGATGATCCTGATGGTATTGATGATCTCTTGGCTCGCTCAGTTTTAGATTAAACTGGTCTAGATGTTGCAGAATTTTTAAGAACATGATAAATAAAAATTTTCGACCTAACTTGCAAATTAGAAAACCTGATGTGCGCTTTTAGTGCATTATTAGGTTAAACCATTGTTACGCTCTTTCTCCAGTCCACCGAATAAATTAAATAAATGTAATACAAGTAAGTAAAAAGTCTACACTAAAACTACATCAGGTTACACCAGATGACCTATTACAACTAGAACCTGGAAGGGCCTAATTCTTCATTCCCACATGTTTTTGCTTCACTTTAACAGCATTTTGACAAATTCCACCTCACTTGATCTGTAAGCAAATAAAGTTTTTGTGAACTATCTGTTAAAGTCTCTCAACTCAAAGGACATCTAAAGATGCTGGTGGTCTGCAAAGAGCTGGTTAATCCAAGTTATATGAACATATTTTACAACAACTACTGTCTGAGTGAAACCTGTGAGCTCTGTAGGT